CCCCCCCCCCCAAGTTAGTTCCGGCGCAGCAGACTAACCGAGAACGTTATGCAACTCAGTGCAAGATGGGTGTCGAGGCTGCTCCCATGGCCCTCGTCCAAGCCGGCCTCCTCGATCAACTGCGCGAAGACCTAGGCTACGAGCTGCACTATGACGACAAGGTCCACTACTACGAGGACAAGATGCCCGCCGAAGACCCCGACCACCGCGGCATGAAGAAGCCCCGGGCGGTGAGCGCTGTTACTGAGGCGCTGAGCAATCAGGTCTACGAGCACGCCAAGGAAGGCAAGTTCGTGCTGACCCTGGGCGGTGACCACTCCATCGCCATCGGCACCATCTCGGGCACAGCCAAGGCCATCCGCGAGCGTCTGGGCCGCGAGATGGCCGTCATCTGGGTGGATGCCCACGCTGACATCAATGTGCCGGAGATGAGCCCCAGTGGAAACATCCATGGCATGCCCATGGCTTTCCTGACGCGCCTGGCCCGCGAGGAGCGTCCTGATATCTTTGGTTGGTTGAAGGATGAACACATTGTCAACACCCGCAAGTTGGTATACATTGGTCTGCGTGACGTCGACCGGGGCGAGAAGCAGTTGCTGCGCGAGCACGGCATCAAGGCCTTCAGCATGCACGATGTTGACCGGTAAGTCTTATTGTTCCTTGTTCCCGCTTTCCGGTAATCAGCCTGTCTGACACTAGAGTCTCCAGCTACGGTATTGGTCGCGTGGTTGAGATGGCGCTGGCGCACATTGGTAACGATACCCCGATCCATCTGTCGTTCGACGTCGATGCGCTGGACCCCCAGTGGGCGCCCAGTACAGGCACCCCTGTGCGTGGTGGGCTGACCCTGCGTGAGGGAGACTTCATCGCGGAATGTGTGCACGAGACTGGCAACCTGGTGGCGATGGACCTGGTGGAAGTCAACCCCAGTCTGGAGGAAGCGGGCGCCAGTGAGACCATCCGCACGGGCTGCTCGCTGGTTCGCAGCGCTCTGGGAGACACTCTGTTGTAGAAGAAGGAAAGACTTATATTTTCATTTATAGTCTCTGTATACTAGAGATAAAGGTTAGACGGACACGATAGCTACGCAATGATAATGACGATACTCTTTATAGTTTGGCACTTGCTTTGTTTCTAGTGTTGATTTAGTGTGTCTCCGCAATTTAAGCGCCATTTTCCCTGCCACCTCCAGCCACCCGTTTTTTTCCATGTGCTTCGATCAGATCCGGGACTGTCCCTCCATTTTCTGCTTTTGACATTCTGCCATGAGCTAGTATCAATCTCTTGAATATCCTGTCTTTTTGAAACGGTCAAATTGAGTTCGGTTTCAAGCCATTGTTACGGGGGAGTTGTCACTTGCAAACCCAAGCTGCCGGCCCACACCCGCCCAACGAGGCATATCATCATCATCATCAACAACAACAACAAAACATCGTCATCAGTTCCGCTTCAGCCCAATTTCGCCTTTCCCACTTCCCCATCATTTCAGACCGACGTCCCATGCACTGACGACCAACGGTCTGGACCAATTGCTCCCCAATCGACAGGAATTGCAAGGGAATGGGCGGTTTCTGCCTGACTGACTGACGGGGGTTGCCCACGCCTTATTGCTGCCCTTGACTGAGAGAGTGCAGCACTTCATCTTGACACCGCTTCGGAAGCTGAAGCTGGACGCTGCAGTCGATCAGCGGTCAGCGTCAGAGGTCGACCTAATTATAACCACCAATTCTAAATGGTGTTTCATGAAACTGACAATCTACGGTCTCTTCTCTATTTATTGTCTCAAAATACTCCGGATATTCCATCCCATCAGGTGCAGCCACGAGCCTAGAAACACTCCGAACGACAAACGGAAGTATATGGAAGCATTGCCTCCATAGTATACCTTTCAACCAGTTCCCTCAGGTTGATTTACCAACCACCACGACACACGAAGGACAATAATTGAAGCTATCATCATCATCATCATCATCATTCATCATTGCCATCCACTCAATCCCAAACAGTCAACCAACCGCAAAACCTACTGAAACAATGGCCGGTGTCCGCGTCTACCGTCGCAGACGCTACCACTGGCCCGAGCTCCAGCTCAACTTGTGGTTAATCGTCGTGCTCTCCGCCAACGCTATCTGTCTGGGGATTTTTGCGTGGTTTATGTCCGTTCAGAACGAACTCCATCTGGATATTCCATGGTTAGTAGTAGATGTCCCTTCTTCTTTGCCAGTCCATACCCAGTCCAGTCCTCAGCTCCTCCCAGCTACCCATTCTCCGAAAAAGAAATACTAACTGAATCAGGCTCTTCCCCTACATGACCGTAACCGCCGCCCTAGGCCTCTTCTTCATCATTCTGATCTACGTCCTCACCGCGCAACGCTTCCTCCTCCCGGGCATCATCATCGTCGGGAGCTTCATCCTCTTCGCCCTGTGGCTGACGGGTTTGATCGAGACCAGTCTGCAGATGTATGGCGTTGTCGCCAACATCGACAGTAACTGCCGGAATTACATCCTGACGAAATCGCATCCGACCGGCGATAATATGGAGACGTTGGCGTGGTTGACGGAGAGTACTATTTGTATGTTTACCCTTTTTCTTTCTTTTTTTTTTTTTTTTTTTTGCCCTGTTGTCCCTTCCACAGTATTTGGGTATTAAGTGGATTGCAATTTCTTTTTTTTTTCCTTTCTTATTGTTTTTTTGGAGGGAAGGGAGAATGTTGAGTGTTGGGCTAATGGCTAATGGCTCATCTCTACGTACAGGTAACTGCTGGAGAACCGCTTTTGCGTTCGAATTGATCAATACCATCTTCTATGCATGGATGATGATCATGTCCTGGCAGGTTCATCGGGATATCTATCGCTGACCGGCCCTGATTGCGAAGTCTTTTTTTTTTGGTTCGTACGGGGCGGGGGGAGAAGAAGGGAAGACCCCGAGCATGCCCCGGGCATGGGGGCATTGTTCTCTGATTGGATGACTGGATCGTTGGTTTACTTCTAGACCTGATTTTCTAATGTGAGATGATTGCATGACCTACTCTGTGTTAGCCGTTCTGATTCTGATGTATGAACATTCTATGTGTATCCTTATTTCAACTTCTTTGTGTCTGGTCACATCACATCTGATACAGCCCTCCACTTGCCGCGAGGTCAATACAATTCAAATTCAAAATCCTAAACCCTGTACCTAAATCCTATGTCACAACACACCAATACTGACTCCGATCGTCACGGAAATTGCGTAAGAACGCCCTCGCTATGCCTTTGCCAGCAGCATCTCGAAATCGACGATTCCCCAGCGTACCTAGTATATCCGCTAGCTGTATCCACAAAACAAGACGATGTCTAATGCCAGAGAATCAACCGTGCTCTTCTGCAATTTTCTCCTCGGCCGTCTCGTCGTAGTCCCCGTCTTCAAACGCAGCCATCATCTCACGCTCGAGCTCATCGTCTTCTTCTTCAGGTGCCGGCATCGCGGCCGCCTGTTGAGACGCCGTAGCCGCATCTGTGGGGTCCTCCAGCTCACTGCTAGGTGACTCCGAATTCGCTGCACTGGAGACAGCCTGGGAGAGTGCGGTACCGGGCCGTTCATACACCCGCCGGATCCGCTGCGAGAGCCGCGAGCCATGATCTGATCCGGACTCGGCCCCCTTACCTCCTTCGTCTCCTTCGCCCTCCTCGTCTTTGGTGTCGTCCGAGCGCTTTCGCTTTCTACTAGGCGCTGTTGTGGGAACCTCGTCCATGAAGGAGGCGTCACTATCACTCTCGCTATCATCGTCACTGCCAAGGAACTCTTTCAACTCTTCGTGGATCGCTGCTTGTTGGTCAGCATCGTAACCAATTGGCGATACCTCCGTCAAACCGGACGACTTCAGAATATCGGCTGTCATTTCGGGCTCGTCCTCCTCCGTCCCAGCAACTCCCGTCCCTTCCTCGGAGGACTGCCACGAGCTCTCCATTTCCTCGCCTGGCTGGATTGGCGCCTCCCGGTCGTCTGGGTGTACCGGCAGGAGATATGGTTCTTCGTCTAGACGTTTCCATTGGGTCAAGCAGTCATTCAACCAATGCGTTCGGACGATTTTGATATGCGGATACCGCGTCGCAGCTCTAACCTTGGCCGTGCGATTCCGTCCAGCCACAAGATGGGTGACTCTCGAGCTGATCTTCGTAGTAATGGTGGCACCGAAACTCTTAGACCAAAGGGAGATGTCCGCGCTATGCGTATCTATGTTCAAGGGAAGTACTCCTGTGAAGGCCATTACAACGCCGCTGAGTACACGTCGTTTGATAGCCGGCATGATCTCCTTTATGTCAGGGACCAGCTTCAAGTCTACGTCCTTTTCCTTTGAGAAGGTCTTTTCGCCGCGCAGGGCTGCCACTCGTCCTCCCAGCGCTCGCGACCTTCGCCGATCGTACTCGTCGAAGAAGTTGCGATGCACTTGCTCGAGACGAACTTCCAAGTCAAACAATTCCCGGTCGTTGTCCTGCAGAAGGTGTTTGTGCCTTTTCATGTCTGTAGACTCGTCCACGCTGCTCGACGAATCACTACTCTCAGCAACGTCTTCCTCTGCATCCAGTTCTTTCTGCTTCTGAAGCAACGGTCGGTCTTCAACTTGATGCATAATAGTCTCGATCTGGGCATCGCTCTGTTCCTGCAGTATGCGAGGGTCATCTCCCCCGCCCATCGTCACTAGCTGCTCCAAGGCTGACATCTCGGGCTGTCCCTCTGCTCCGACCGCAGCCCCATTGACATGTTGCTCACGAGGTAGATCCTGTGCCGCCTTTACTGCGGCCCTCTCGCCAGATTTGCTTGAAGTGATCAGCTCCTGCTTTTTAGGCAGGAAGCTCGAGTTAATATCCCCAATGCCGACAAAAAAATCGTACGGCACTACCTTGATGAGATTGGGGCTCCAGCGCCAAACATCCCCGCGATCGTCGATGATGACGACCATCTTTGTGTCCACAGGGAACAAGCGATGAAGGTTCTTGGCCGTGAGACTCCCGCTTTCGTCTCGGCTCAGTATGCGATCTCCAAAAAGCTTGCGGTCGGGATCAATGATAGCAGCAATATGTTGAGCGTAGGGCCGAGTTCCCATGGTATAAATATGCAGCTCAAACATCTCCGAGATATTATGCAGGAAAGACTCCAACCCGGGCCGCAACTTGACAAAATACCATACGCTGCGCGGTTGTGGGATACCTTCCGCGTCCGTTGGCTGATCATGTTCAACCATCTCAAACACGCGGACATCGCTTACGGCCTGATGGTTGGGATTGTCTTGATCCTTCATCCATTGATCCACTGTAGGGTCAACGGTTGTATGGATGATCGTCTGGTCCAGATCGACCACAAGAGATAACTTCCGGTTCATGAGCAAGCTGCGCTTCGCATCCTCTTCTACACGCATCGCCTCCCTCTCGCTCACGGTCAAAGCTGTATTTTCGTGAGTCATCGTAATCGTCGCGCGCATGGCGTCGATGAACTCCGTGTCGTACGTAGATCTATCACCCAACCATTATGCATTAGTCTCGAACTCGACTTTATATGTGGCGGAAGGAATGCATACACAGTCATATCCTTCCCACACTCAGCACAGAGACCTCCAAATTGAACTTCGTGAGCACATGGCTCATCGATTTCCACGAAATCAATCCTAAAACGCAGCAAAAATCAGTCTCGGCCGCCGACATTAGAACCAATCGAGTTTGGATGGCAAAGTGCCAGGTCATATGGCGACGTACGGTCCATCTATAATATCCCCTTCCGCAATCTTCCACTGGACTACCTCGCCATCCACGGTCGCCTCATACTTGGTCGGATATTTCTTCTTCACCTCATACTTGTTTCCCAACCTGTCACCTTCGGTAACAGTGGTCTGGTAAAAATACCAGAACAGCGCTTCCTCCCTTTCCACCGCATCGCCGGGCTGTTTGACCAGCGTCGTTACGGTGATCGGGTAGTGAAGGCTGGACGGCAGCCGGAGAAGCATTTATGTTGTAGCCGGTGCCAATCCTTTATCCAGAAGTAAAATCGACCAACCCTCTCTGCCCTCCTCCTCACCAATGATGAAATCGAGGAGGGAGGGATAGTCTTATAACAGGTGATGAAGGAAGTTCGCGGTAGAATAAAAGTCCAGCCGAAAGCTAGGAAGCCATGCCCAAAGCAGCGAACACCAGAGAACGCCCACGGCAACGGCAATCGATGGTATAGAAAAATGAAAGCGATGAAGAAGGTCGGAAAAAAGCAAAGTGATGTTGTGGGTCAGAGACGCGACAGTGAGGCAATCGCGTTGATATGTACTATTCGGGTAGGTGGGTAGGCATGTAGGAGGCCGGGGCCGAAAGTACAAAGAAAAGCCGGAGCTGCGATGAGCAGGAAAGAAGAGGGGAGTTGAATGAAAGACAATCGAGGTCAGTCCTATGGATCAGCTGGTCGCAAATGGTTCGCCACGCGAATCAACGCGACAAACATCAACCACGGTAGGAAAGACTGGTAAGACGAGCTTAAGATGGTCAACTTATGGCAATAACACGAGAACTGATGATGAAAGAAGGATGTAATCGGATGCGATCAGGAACAGAAGAGCTCCCTGGGAGTGGGGGGTGGGAGGTGGGGGGTGGATTTGAGAAGAGAAAGCAATGGAGGAAGAGGAAGAGGGAAAAGGAAAAGGAAATGGGTCACGAGAGTAGGCAAGGATGAAGGAAGCAGTGTGAATTTAGAGTGGATGAAGAATAGGAAATGGAGAAGAACGACGAACCTCAAAATGTGGAGGAAGGAGGAGCAGGCAGCTGAAGCAAGTTTTCCAGCGAGCAGCAGCAGCAGAAGCAGCAATAGTCGCAGCAGCAATAGCAGTAGCAATACTAGCAAAGAAGTGAAGTAGAGAGAGTGGTGTGGTGGCGCCAAGCGTCCAACCGTCAGCCGCGTCTGGCCTGTGCGGAGAGGGCGAGACTCTCTCTCGGCTCTCGGCCCAGGCCCTCCGTCATCATCTTGAATCACACTTTCACCTGCACAAAGAATCAATGACATCCGATTTTCACGCGTCAATGATGACCTATATCTTAACACGACCTGTTTGTGGTCTTATTGTACTGGCATAGATTCAGACATGGTTACGAAAACTGATCAACAGGAATACACATTGAGCAGTGGTGGAAAAAGAAGCCTAGGCTGTAGCAACAACTGAATTCGAATGCAGTCCCCATCTCTTAAAAGCATAACATAATAACAATGATTACTACACGCGAGGGGGTCGAAGCTAATATATGTGATATCATCCCCTCCATCTTGCGTACATAGCACGATACTCGACGGAGGCCCATTACTTGGCCTTAGCAAGACCCACAGCACTGTTGCCAAGGTCATACACGCTGTACCACTTGCGCAGGAAGGAGTCACCCAGAATGGCCAAGGGACCGACAGGCTCGGGGAAGTCCATGCCCATGAAGGCACTGATGCAGGATCCCTGGGTCTCAAGGGTGTAGTCATAGGCACTGATGGTAAAGTTGTGGCCGCTCAGAGCGAAAGTCACATCAGGCAAGGAGGAGCGCTTGGCACAATCGATGGTGTACTGGCCAGTCCATCCCTTCTTGGCACCAATCTGGGCGTTGCTACGCAATTGTCAGCAAATTCGCCATGGAAATGTTACGACGACCGAGGAACTTACATCATCTCAGCAAGGCTGGAAGGGAGTGCAATAAGGGAAGTACCGGTGTCGAGGATAACACCGGTGTTCTCAAGCTCGGCAACGTCATCACCAAGAGCAATGGAATCGAGGTCGACCTCCCAGTAGGCCTTGCGGCGAAGAGGGATCTTGATCAGCTCGCCGGTGTAGTGATCCTTGTCAACACCACCAAAGGTGGCCTCAGAGCTATCGCCTTCCTTGTTGGCATCGCCAAGGTAGAAAGCAAAGATGGGCTCGTCCAGAAGACCCTGCTTCAGCATGTTGTAGAAGGGGGGAACAATCTTGTTAACGGAAATGGTATCATAGCCCAGTCCGAGAATGCCGTCGAACCGGCCGAAAGCGAAAGCCAGGCCAGGTTCTTGGGTGGCCTCAGCAAAGTCCTGTTCCTTGATGGTCAGGTCGCCGATCGTGAGGGTGTCCTGGGAGACGAAGCCGCTGAGGCTGCCAGAGCCATAGCGGATAGCGAACTCGCTTCCATTCTTCTTGTACGTGCTCGAGGAAGACGAGTCGTATTTGTTGTGAAGGTAGCAGGCAATGGACCCGCACTCCGAAGAGGGAACCCAAAGGTTGGAGCTACCGGTGTCCAAGACGACCTTGAACGTCTGAGGGGGTGTACCGAGCTCAATCTCCGAGAAGTCTATTCCAGACCATAATGAGTAGCCGCTCACACGACATAGGCCTCCTACTGGAGCCTCTGAGGATGGTCACTTACACTGGGCGTTCATGAAGTTATCGACAAGGACGTCATGACGGCTCAGGTCATTGATGGGTGTCTCCTGGAGTAGCTGATTGTGGATGTTGGGACGAATGCCCATGTACTTTTGGCCCAGCGCGCGAACATGGGCGTCAATGTTGTGGGTAGCCTTCATTCAACAGGATTAGCCCATACTGAGTTGGAATAAGAACGGCGCTGGTCTCAAGAGCAACAGTGGTCTCAAAAAAAGGGTTTAGCTCACCAACTGCTCATCAAGAGAGACCTTGTTAAGCTTGAGCTTGTGGACCTCAGCGGAGGTGTAGCCCAACAGCATAGATGCTGTGAGCAAAGAGACGGACTTCATGATGGCAGCGACACCTAAAGGAACGACTCCAAGAGAGACGACGGACGTAAGTTTGAGAAAGAACGAGAGTAAAGAGTGATAAAGATGTCGACGATGGAGAATCCAAGATCGAGGGAGATGGAAGGAGGAAAAGGAAGCCGAGGAAGAAGAGAGAGAGAGGCAGAGAGAGGCGAGGACGAGAGGAAGGTGACGGTCACGGTACCCGGGGGGTAAGTGAGGAGAAGCAGGAGGAGTGACTGGTTGGTTGCGGAGCGACCTGCTGAGCGTACTGTACTGACTGATACCCACTTGCACGCCGCCTCAGGCTGTTGTTAGTGGTGCAGACCAGCCAATGACTAGCTGCCCTGGCTGCGTCATCGGCAAAGGGATCTTCAATCACGGGGTTTATCTCTGATTAATTAAGGTATTTAACGCCCACAGAGCTGCGGTGTGCCTGGATTTGAGGTTCGTTTATATCTTCAGGAATGTGCTGGTACTCTTGTCCTATTCTATATCCTTAAGACTACTTATTATACATATGATTCAGAAACTCTTACTTCTAATGAAGTGGACTTCACCAGCAAGGGTGGGTGGAAGGAACACTCAATCCCCAACGCGTCGACCGCTTCTTATCAACCTAGTTAAACTTATCTGCCGCTAAAAGTGATGATGTAAGACCGCCTTGGCCCGCCCTGCTGCCTGTTCGTAACCGTATCGTAAGTCGGCGGCGGTACCTTGCCTTTCCGGGTGAGCAGCTGCTGACAGGTACAGCGCCGGGGCCGGGAGGCTCCGGTAGCTTCCTGATGAGCTCACCAGCCAGCCTGATGTGCTGTGTCTATGCAGTTGGATTTGAGCATATTCAGGCAGTCTACGTCAACAATAACCAAGATACGTCAATCATTGTCTTGATATGTGATGCCTAAAGGTATGGTAGCTAAGACCCAGCCTAATTGCCCTCGCAAACACATTGCCACCTCAGTCACTGCACTTCATCTGATTTAGCGGTAGAATTCGAGTCTAGAGTAGATTAGTCTTAAGGAATCCAAAGATAGAACAAGAGAGGTACGAACCTATCAGATTCTTGCCCAGTCTTGACTTGAGCAGCATAAGCATCCTCCAAATCAGATTGGATGATGTTGTAGCGGTTCTTACGAACAGCGCGGAGACCCGCCTCCTGCATAATAGCCGCGATAACCGCACCAGATAGCGGTTCGTTACGCACAATCAGAGAGTCCAGGTCAACCTCAGGTGAAAGCGACATCTTGGAGGCTATCGTGGTGAAGATCAACCGACGCTCACGCCGGTCACGCAAGGACGGGAACTCAATCTTTCGATCCAGACGGCCCGGACGCAGCAAGGCAGGATCCAGGGTATCCGCTCGGTTAGTAGCCATGATGACTTTGACATTACTCGTTTGCTCAAAACCATCCATCTGATTCAGAAGTTCCAGCAAGATACGCTGAACCTCACGGTCGGCACCCGTCTGGGCGTCGAAACGCTTGGTGGCGATGGCATCGATTTCATCAATGAAGATGATGGCGGGGGAGTTCTCCCGAGCCATTCTGAAAACATCACGGACCATACGAGGTCCTTCACCAAGGTACTTTTGGACGAATTCGGAACCGTTCACACGAATGAAGCTGGCGGTTGTGCTGTTCGCCACTGCCTTGACCAGCATGGTTTTGCCGGTACCAGGAGGACCATACAGAAGGACACCACGGGGAGGATCAATACCTGATGCTGTCAGCACGATAATCCCGGCTCATAAATCCCAACTAGCCACATAACCCAACAAAGGCAGGGGAGACCGACCGATCTGCTTGTAAAGGTCAAAGTGTGTCAGAGGCAGCTCGACCGCCTCTCTGATCTCCTGCTTCTGCATATCCAGACCACCAACATCCGCATATGTAACATCTGGCTTCTCATTCTCGCCCAGCATAGCAATCGAGGAGTCTGCCTCGGGCGGGAGGATATCAACAAGGGCGTTTGAATGACGGTGGAGGGCGACCGAGGATGAGGGCTTGAGCTTCTCGCGGTCGAGGGTAGACAGGATGCGGACGACATAATTCGAGCCGGTCGAGGACTGCACGATACCGGTGCTACATCAATATAGTCAGCACTATAGTTCCACTATGTCCTGAAATGACCGGCGCGTCACACTTTTGATCGATCGCTTCCATAAATTGACCGATGACCAAGGGAACACTCTGTATCCGCTTGATCTCCTCCTGTGCACGAACAAGCTCTCGCTTCAAGCTCCTATAAAGTTTTCCGGTGTTAGTGAGATAATTCATTTGTGCGACGCCAAAATGTCTTACCTTTGTTCATCCTTAATGTATTCCTCCTGGAGCTGGATATACCTGGGCAAGGGTCAATATGTGCGGAGGCGACAACCACGCAGATTCGAAACGTACTCCAAGTGTCTCTGTAGGCGCTTCAAGGTGGCATACTCGTCACCACCGTCGTTCCCGGTACCTTCCAGCGAGTCTATGTTGGGAATGGTGTCCAATGGAGCGGCCTTGGTGTGAGGCGTGACGTTGTTCGCCGGAGTCTCCACGGCGACGTCTCCCATGGCGAATGTCTAGAGCGGAACCAAAAAGGAATGAGAATTAAACAATGTACAGCCCTGTGTCTCCTGGGACGAGATGCTAGCAGCTAGATAGAGGACGTGAGGTGCGAGATGGGAGTTAGCTGATTGTTTAGAGCTATTGCGTCGATGACAGAAAGCCAGGGATCACGAAGCTCAGAGCCTGGTCATGTGACCGGGTCAGCTAGAAGCATCCGGTGGCAACCTCAGGCAGAACTCAATCCTAGTACCATGTGGTGGTGCATGCCACCTTTGATATTCTTTGCACCCATCCTATGATGCAGGTGGAAATCTGCTACTACCTACCTGACTCGTATCTCACACATAGAGAAGCATACTGTATGCGAAGGCGATACATTTGTAGCTGTGACCACTCCAGTTATCCGATAATATATACTTGAAAGGATCAGTACCTAAGTTGGTATTCGCTCGCAACTGCTACATGGGACTTTTCAATGATCTGATCTGTACGATTCAATTCAAATTGATTCACTAAGTTATAATAACAAATAGTTAGCCCTGCGTTACCAATCACCAAGGGCACCTACTGATGGATATGATGATTGTTTAAGTCATTCGAGTACAGTGCAGGGTGGTTTATCAAGCGAGCTCACAAGTCGGTTCAACTGATCAACGTAGCAACGGAATCAAAAATCTCCTCTCAGAGTCTTCCAAATCCTTGCTCGTTTTAAAATGCGATCATAACATGGTACTAACAGCTAGAACATCTTATTTCCTCGACGTTCTCAGACAACACCGGATATTGTGGCCCATTTCTCTTCCAGTATCTAGTACCTTGAAGACATCTACTTGATATTTGGTAGCCTGCCTTCTTCCCCAGATAATCTGAACACGCCTTCTTCAGGGTAGCCGCCATCGGATCACAATAGCAAAAGCGTTCTACCAAGTCATATATTCTCGTACGTCTATCATCGAGTCTAGCAGAGCATCTGCCAGTAATAGTATACATATTTTAGCCTCATTATCATCAATAGCAAAGCCCATGGTCCCGATCTTTCAGAAAATCTGGTCATTAGCAATAAGAAAGCGGTCAGACTAATCAACTTAGACTACGATCAATTCCTCAGGTAGCCTTGCCAAAAATACGTTATATAATTTAGTTCATCTCTTTTCTATTCGTATCAGTTCTTTTATTTCAGCTGCTACCTCCCATTATTCACTTGGGCTGTGAGATCTGCAAAGCCTTCTAGTACATAGTTATACTAGATAATTATAGTTATAGACGATCTCACGCAGCTACAGAGGGACCTGCACAGCTATAAGTGATTCTATATAGCTACCACAGCCAACGAGGCTAACGAGGCCTGCGAGGCCTTCCACACAGCCACCAGGGTTTGCAAGGCCTTCTACATAAACAATGAGTGGATTATAAAATAGTACTACGTGCTTCGCTTGCCTTGATCTTCGGCTGAAAACGAGTCACCCACCGGCCAAGGCCTCGTACCAAGATCAGCATCCACATTAAATGTAGAGGCACCCTACTGATCGATCTCCATGCATTTAAAAAACAGCAGTGATCAGCATGATTGCTAAAGCGAGACGTTTCACAGGGTACATAATTCCGGTTCCTGCAATGCAAGCCCCTGTGGATTGTTAATCAACCCAGCCTGTTGTATCTGTTCAATGGCATCACTGCATCACCCTACTAGATGCACTTAGTAACTTCTATAAGAGCTTGAGATCAGTTTGTGGTTCGTATTTGAACAAGGCTATTTCCGCATCCGGCCGCTGATCCCTTGACAGAGATAACCAGGGAATTGCCACGGGCACCGTGACGATCTCGTCAGCTATACCTGGCGCTCTCTCAGTGCCTTATTATGATCAGTCAACCAGCAGCCGTGATTCGGTGGTGCTTGAGAAGTCCTTAGTCATCACTACACAGCCCCACCAGTACCTTGATCGGGTAAATCACCCAGCCTACACTTGGGCGATAACATCAATTCCTTGTGAGACAAGAAGCGGATGGCGACATGAGATTCACCACTATCATCAGACTGTGTGATCTTTCTCTAGAATCTCGTATGTGTCTGTGTGGCTTATACTAGTGATGTCATTGCCCTGAAACTTCCACCGTCGCGTGAACAGTAGCGACAACTGTGTACGGTGAATGCCCATGGGCGGACGGCAGAATGCCACGAGCTGGTATAAGTGAACCCAGCTGCAACCCTTTTTTGGGGTATCTCACACCGTTGCTCATACTGCTGCAGATCCGGCATGCCTGACATGTCGGGAAAAATGCCGTAAGTGCGATCGTGGTCGACCAAGCTGTGAACGCTGTATTTCCAAAGGGTTGGTATGTGGAGGATATCCAGAGCAGTTCAGATTTTGTGGTATTGCTAGTCGGGGAAAGTGGAAGGGAGCACGTATACCGGTCAGCAACAGGGCTTCTATCAGAGAACAGTCTTCCGCGACGGAAGGGCTATCGGACAGTCTCGCAGGATCGACCTCGGTGGCCATGGCTGAAGAAAACTCGAGATCCCCAACTAAAGAATCATCTATCTCAGATGATTCTAACCAGCCGCTGGCAGAGCTCTCAGATGACATTAGCGCGGTCCTCGTACAACCTCTCACAGAGAGGCTACTAAGGCATTGTAAGACCAGCCTTGGAACCAAGGCCTTTGGGGCAAGGAAACATTAACACTGTGTCACAGACGATCAAGTCATCTGTCCTCATCAAATAGCCGAGGTCGGGGACAATGACAACAACCCATATAGAGCATTTATTCTTCCCTTAGCACGGAAACAGATAGGTCTATTATACGCTGTTCTGGGCCTATCAGCCTCCCATCTTGGTAGGTTGATGGAGGATGAAACAATGCACGAGGCTACCGCCGTCGAATATCGATTGAAAGCGATACGCGCACTGAGCGGAGAGATTCGAAAGAGTCAGCGGACGTCGCTGCGAGAAGAGGAACAGGACACAGTCCTCGCCATCATCCAACTTTTGCTACTCCATGATGTAAGCCTAGTCGGATTTTCCAATGCGGCTATCGCTCTAAGCTTTCGATCTGATGTACTTGCAGATAAGCGAGTCCGGGGTGTCTTCCCATGGAATTCATATCACGGGAGCCATGTCCGTGTATAAACAATTGATCGCCAACGGATTGAATGGTATTCGCCAGCGTGCGGTCTTCTTTTTGGGGAACTTGGCCTGGTCTGTCACCCCTGCCGCGAACATACTGCCCATCAATGGCTGACGACAAATCATAGGCTTGACATCGTCCGAGCTTTTTCCGGCGCGGAGCGGATGTGCTTTACTCAGGAAGTCAGAGACCTGGTCGCCTGTGCCAGCGACAACATGTTTGAACAGGTCAATGGGGTTCCACGCGAGATCTTTCTCATCATAGGCGATGCGTTGGAGAAGTCGAAGGAACACATGTTAGGCTGGCTATCATGGGATGAGTATCAACTTGCCTTGCACGTGAACAAACAAAAGCTTTATTCGTGGGACCCCCATTGCAGGTCCTATCCTACATCAGACCCATTGTGGCTGGCTATAGCGGAGGCTCACAAGTTTGCTTGTGTGCTGCGCATATTACGCTTAATGAGTCCGCTTCGACCGGCTCGCGACTCGGAGATACAAGAATGTGTAACAAAGATCCTTGACGTGACAGCGATGATCTCTTCTGATTGCTCTGTCATAGAGCTTGTGGTATTGCCGCTCTTCATGGCCGGAGCAGACTGTCTGTCGCCTCATTCGCGGTACTATATCTTGGGAAGATTGCGCGAAATTGAGAGAAGGTCAGAATTCCGAAATCCGGTACCGAACGACTTGTTGAAAAAGGTCTGGGACGCACGCGCGGCTCAAGCTCCTGATGATGATACGAACATTTCGTGGACAACTTTTGTAAGCTACCTCGTACTAATTTCGCATTTTCCAAGCTTACCAGCAGATGTAGACGCAGGCGCCCGGTTTAGTACGGCCACATGACTATCTTATACTTTGATCACTGCTCAGACGAGCTTGGTCATCAGCATCAAGGTGTCCCGCAGATTGTGTGTTTCATAAGTAGTGGTTGTGCGGGTCATCAACAGGAGCATTCCTCCAGAAGTCACTGACTGAAGCAGTTAGAACACGGTGAAAAAGTGGTATGGTTGATGAGAAGGTATCTATCGCGTTTGTGATCACTATAGAGAGATAGCGCTATGGATATAGTCTATCTCCATGTGTTCCAGGCTCTTTCATCTGCTGGTCAAGATCCATGCTTGTTTCTATTCTGCGTATGATTCGAGCAGGATTTCCTGCAACGAAGTGAAATGATGGTACATTCTGTGAGGAGGGCCATTGAGTGTTAGCGGTTAGGTCTAGTACCTAGGTTTAGGAGGACCAACGTGCCTTTGTTACGACAGACCCAGCTCCCACAGTGCTTCCACGTCCAACTGTGACTCCAGCGAGGATCAAGACACTGCCTCCTATCCATACATCATCCTCGATGTGTACTTCCTTGCCTGCTTCGGGGCCTTCAAGTCCATTCCGTACAGCAGGATCCATGGGATGGATGGCGCCATAGATCGAGACGTCAGGACCGAAGAGGACCCTTTCGCCGATCGTGACAAGGCAGGTGTCAAGCACAAGAAGATTGAAGTTGAGGAATGTGCCTTTTCCCACTTTGAAGTTCAAGCCGTGGTCGACAGAGATCGGAGGATCCACAAATGGGTCCGTTTCGTCGAAAAGCTTCTCGTCCTCCTGGGGATCGGACAGGGTTGGGGGGAGAGGACGAGTGTCACCAACGATACTTAATGGAAAATAGTCAGCTTGACGAGATACAGTGAATTCCGTGACCGATGGTTTTAGCGCTTCTCACTCTCGCCATAGTTCCACCCTCCGACGTCGAGACACTTGACCTGCCTGGTTGAACCTGTCGCATGCTGCTTTGCATCGCTGGCGGTTGGCCTGCAGGTCTGCATCCCAGGCCCAGTAGAGCTCACCGCTGAGCATCTTTTGCCATTCTTTAGATGTAGTCATGTTGATCAGTGTTGTCAGGATGAGAGGCTCAGAATGAGGAATGAATCCGTGCGGAATGCTTAGACGAGCGGGGGAAACCCTTTTTTATAGGTTCCCAAATTCCGTCAATGAAGGATGTTTGTGCCGATACTTGACACCGTGTGAGTTCGTGTTTGCTGTCATGATGGGAGCTTTCATGATGATCAACTTTCTGCTGGTTTGTTTGGACCAGATGGGTGAAACAGCCAGCTTTTGCTAATACGACCCGGTAGGTCGAGGTCAGTTGGGCTACCTTCCCGATAAGGCAGGTAGGTATACTCGCTTACCCAATAGTAGGTGCCTGGTCGTTTGTTGTTCAAGGCTCAAGCCTCCATGTAGTCTATAAGTACTTGACTTAGTTGGAACTTTAGTGATGCATTTAACTACGGAGCTACACTACGAGTAATTATAGTCTGGAACTGTCAATGTGGACGAGACGGAACTTCATTGTTTGGAAAAGGAAGGAGGAAGAGGGGGGGATGGGATTTTGTAAGTGAAAGTAAAGCCAACCCGCACAGACCAAGAAGTGTCCCTCTCGTCAATGGAACCAAGAGCCAAGCCCTGAGACGGGAAACTTTATTGTCAAGGTCGTTGTTAGTGTACTGAGGACTACGGAGTAAGTTAACTACCTAAGTTAGTCGATCATTCAGTCAACTAAGTTAAGGTAGGTTTGATGACATACAGTGGTAGTCGTCGTGCATGGATGAGTCCTGTCCTTTGATTGATAGGTCAGAAACCCATTCCGATCTGTTGGTTGAAGTCCGTACTTTGGTCGAAAAACATGCGGCCGGGGTCTGGTTGACGTAGTTTTAGGGATTCAGAAGGGTGTTTTACTAGCTACCTACGGAGGATTCGAAGTATTTTCGGTCTTGATTGGAATGGATCCGCGTAATAGTACGGAGAACTGTATGTAAATACTTAAGTACTAGTTAAACCAATCGACTCCGTGAATGCGAATTACCTCCGGAGATCGGCTCCGGATGCATATACTGCCGCCGATGACCGCCTACTCGATGCGAGACTCGACTTCCAATGCGTTGAACTGCTCCTACTTATTTTTTTTTCCCTTTGCTGGGAGTGAGATCAACCTGACTGTTTGTCTGTTGTACGGAGAGTACACCACGCCAGTCCTCATACCGACTTTCTGTCCTCATTCGTTCTCTTGTCTATTCCTCCTTCTCTACTACTGTACTTACTTCCGTGTCGCTTCTGTGTTCCCTCTCCACGGCCTGTCTCCATTCTTGTCGTTCCCTTACCATCCATCTCCACCTTACCAAAAGGAAACCAAAAACCCAGACCCTCTTCTTTCCCCCCCCCTCTCGCCCTTTGAGCATCAGATTGGAAAAAAAGGAAAGAAAAAAAAAAGGGAAATTCTAAAATAAGATTCCTCCAAGATAAATTACCAACAAATTTTCAAGGTACTGCAAGAGTATCGAGTCATTGACAAGCACAAGGTACGCTCTGCCCACCCACCCCCGTCTCCCCCACTGCTTGTGCTGGTGCCAGCCATTGGAAATGCTCCCATACACTTTGACCTACCATGCTTCATCCACGCACTTCCCTCCTTCAACTGTGGCCACGCACTAAAGAAGGACGGGCCACCTTTTCACCATTCCTCGGAAGACTGTCTTGAACCACGCACGTTGTGACGCCCTCCCTCTTTCTGCCTATGGTTCTTCCGACCGTCATGTCATAGGGGTGTGCATCTATCCATCTTGTTGTTTGATCTGTCCCGAAGCTTTTACCCACCTGGTCCAGACCTTGGATTTACTACCTACCTACCTATCTACCTACCTGCCTACCTACCTTACTTTCTGGCTCTTCCTTCCTCGTGCCAAGCTAGAGTTGTTGCTTACTTGCTGTCATTTCCCGTCCTCAGCCACCAGTTGTTCCCGAGTCTCTCGCCGCTGCACACCCCGAATTGTGCTACTGGGTCCCGTGACCTGCGCCCTCTCCCTCGCAATCTCTCGCCGGCCTTTCCAACCACTGCTGTTCGGGACCCGGCCTCCATCCGCTTGTGAGTCGGCATTTTTAGTTATCCAGCCTTGTCGGTATGTACATCCATCCTATCACTTCCCTTTCATCTTCCATTTGGAATATTGCAAATTCCCTTCCGCTCCCTCTCCTGTTGTTCCCCCCTCATCCACTCTCCCCCCATTGCGCCTTCAATTCCCGCTGAGGTGTGCTTGTTGCTCGCCCTGTGTCGCAGAGCGAAGCGCGACTCACTGCCAGCTCTTGCACTCGACGCGTCTGCACTCATTGCATTGCTATCGTTCGCGCTTGTCCGGCTTTTCGCATTATTAATGGCCATGATGACTTTAAAATTCCTACCCTCCTCGTCGCTACGTGGTGATAGCCCTGCAATCTATGAGTCCATTTTTCTGATAGCTTCCTTTGCCTCGCAGATGGGTTGGTAAAACTACTCGACATGAATGCCTGGCCAGCCGACGCCTTGAATCTTCCGAACCATGACAATGGTGCTTTTCACCAGGCGACCATTGATCCTTCACAGGCATTCCTTCAAGCCTCTCCCACCCCTGACCCTACTCAATATCAGCGCATGTTCAACGGCGTGCCGCGGAATGTCTCACCTGGTTTCCACAACCCGAACCAGGTGATCCCTTCGAAGCGGCCACGGCCCGAAGATGGGATGTCAATGTCGCCCAGGCAAGCTCCTGGCGGCATTGCTGCCTCGCGTTCGCAAACGCCTCATCAAGTGCCTTTTCCTGGATATCAAGCTGCGGCGAACGGCGCCCCGCAGTTTCCCTCGCATCCCACTCCGTATCAGCATCTCCAACAAGGAACTTCTCCAAATGTCACTCAGTCGCCTATAATGCAGGATTTTGATCAACACGGCATTCAGCGGATGGGAACTGCTTCCCCAAGCCCCTTCACACCAGCAGGCCCTCAAGTGGGAACGCACATGTCTCCAACTCAATCAGATCACCCGAGCAGGGTGAACACACCGCAGAACAATACCTTCATGCCAGGCCAGCCATTTCCGCCAGGCATGGGTCCTCAGTTTGCTCCCGCGCCTGCTATGACAACCGCCGCTGTACAACCGCCAATGCAGGCTCATTTCGGTGGCATGCCACAGGGCTATCAACAGGCGATTGCTGCGCAGCAGCAGCAGCAACGTCTGCATGCTATGCAACTGCAGTCACAAGGTCGTCCCATGGTCATGAATCCTGCGATGGCTGGGCGGCCTATGGCAGCTGGGATGAATGCAATGGCCAATCCCCAGCAAATGGCAGCTATCAGACAAATGCAGCAGACCATGGCAAAACCCATGAACCCAGAAGGATTTATGCGGTCCCTGCAAAAATTCATGATGGCGCGCAATCTGCCCCTGGATCACAGTCCAATCGTGTGTGGTCGTCCGATCAATCTGGTTCAACTTTACGCTACTGTCATGAAACTCGGAGGATCGAAGAAGATCACAGCCACAAACATGTGGCAAGTCATTGCTACGCAGCTCCAGTTTCCTCCTATGCAGGTTCCAATGGCTGCGCAAGAGATTCGGGACCATTACCAGCGGAATCTCGCGGCGTACGAACAAGCCTTCCTAAGCAACCAACAAAAACAATATGCGGAGCAGATGCAACAGTCATCGTTATCTCGGCAGCCTAGCGATGCGTCGGGCATGCAACTACAGTCCCCGGCGGGAAAGCCAGTTCAAGGCTTCGAAACTCCCCAACAGATGGGACCCCAACAGATGGGACACCCCTCCCCTGGCAGTGCTCCTGGTCCGAACAACGTACAACTCAGTGCTGCAAATGGGTTCGCAACCCCGACGCCTGTGAAGACACAGAACAAACAACAAACTCCGCACCGCCTGAGCATTTCGCGTCAATCTCAACCGCCTTCAACGCCGCATGATCCTAGCACCCAAATGGCCGGGCAATCTCCTGCACCACGTGGCAAAGGCTCGGTATCAGCTCCCAGTAAACCAGAACTATTAGATCAGCCTTCCAATATGCCTCATAAGCAGCCTATTGAAGATCCCTTCAAGCCAATGGTACTTCCTGAGAGTAACTTCCATGGTCCCATAGTCGTGGATGAGATGTCTCAGATAGGAGAAGACATAACGCGGCTGAAGCCCAATGTTCCTGCCTTCGCTGAGCTTGGTGTCATTGATATCCACGCCCTCACAATGGGCATCAAGTCTGGCATTCATGCCGAGATGCGCGTGGCATTGGATACTCTCACGGCCGTCTCCTCCGAGCCTGCCATCCAGGTCTCCTTGGATAACTGTGATGACCTGGTGGAGAGCCTGATAGAGTGTGCTGAAGATCAAGCAGAGTTCCTTGCCGAGCATTCTCCCGAAGTCTCGGACTCGATGCTTTTATCCACTTATGAGGAGGTAGTCCGTGGGTGCCAGTCCGAATGGATATCGTTGGCTGATGTGCCTGAGTTTGGGAGCCTTGATTATGAATTAGATCGAGCTGTGGATAGGCTCATTTGCATCACAACCATCCTGCGGAATTTTTCGTTTTCGGACTCGAATTTTGCCATTTTATCAACGCCCCCAGTCGTCCAATTCATGTCTACCATAATCCGATATTTGGGTACTCGCAACATGCTCCTACGAACACATCAGAACACGCTGGATTTCATGAAAGACACTGTCATTTACTTGAGTAACGTTGCTCACACGATTCAATTGCCCAGCAAAGAGGAGGCTCTATGTCTCCTACATTTTCTTCTGTCGTTCGCGCCATTTCCAGGACCAGTCATTGGCCCAGATGGCACCATGTTTACATCTTACAATCCCTCTGTACATAAGTACACCCCCGCAGCCGTGGACAGCCTGGCGAAGCTTCTGGCACGGGATGAGCCAAACCGGACGTTCTTCAGAGCGATCTTTTCTGGCGATGGCAATTCCGTCCAACAAGACCTGCTCACTCGTGCATTTGGGCTTGCGATATGTTCTATTCCCGACCAGCCTCGCAAGCCTCTAGCTATCGCAGATCTTCGAAAGGTGTTTCTCATGCAAGGCTTGCTAGCCGCAGATATCCTTGCTGGTTATGCCGATGGTCCCACTGCCAAAATATGGCTGGAATCGGTGGATGGATTTGCCATTCACCTTCTGCGGTTATCGTGTCTTCTAAGCACCGAACATGCTCCCCCTCCACCGACCAACGCCCGGCAGTCCCACGCTGCAAGGGGCCTAGCTGATGAAGCTGAAGCATACCGCTCAATTGTCAACCGAGGCTTGGCCATTCTCCGTCGGCTTGCCGAGAAGTCGAAACTAGCAGATACCACATCCACGGTACATTTTCCATCGGGGATTATCCCACGTAAGGAGAGTCTGCTAGGCGCGTTGCTGATGCGCGATATCGATCCGGGAGTTGTCAGGCAACTGCTCACCTATGCTCGGCTTGCGGAGTGATTGGATAGACTCGGTGCTGGGTTCAAGCCTGGCACCACTTCAATTATGCCCCTTGTTGATGTCTGCTTCCCTCATGTCTTCTACTTATCCTTAGTAAACTATCTCTGCATCAACTTCATTTTTCCTCTTCATAACACCGTTCAAGTTTCGTTTGGCGCCGGTGGGAAAGAATTTCTGAAAGGCGTGACAATGTGTGTATCCTTGTGTGTGAATTACCGCTGTACAATGTTCAATACCCTCGGGCGTAAAAACATGAACACAATCACCACCATATGTCGTAGGCTCAGGATGTACTCCAGTAGGTAGTGTAGTCTGTGCTAAAAATGGGTGTCTACGATCTATGCACGCATCAACTCCCGCCCTGAAAGTATCGTTGGGGCATATTCATGGTCTACTATAGACTGAGAAGCAAGTCAAAGGAAGAATCACGGGTCATTCGTTGAATTACTAAGTATGTCACAGACACTAACGTCAAACACCAGAGCCGTTCAGATCATCGGACACGAAGTCGGAGGGAGGGACACAAGCAGAAACACAAAGATGAAACAAACACATCACGCCAGGAATGACACAAACAGCTAGAGTAGTTCCGAATGAGTAGCGGAGACAATAAAAGGAAAATAGGATATGCGAAGCAAACACCTGAAGAGATACTATGAAGAAGAAAGACGAGAGAAGTAGTACAGGGTGAGAGCAATCAAGGCAATGGCCAAGAATTAATGAAGAAGAGCATAGGATGGTTGGGATGTTGAGAGAAGAAAAGTAATTTTGGGCTAACTGAGATGGGAGGAATCGAATCCATCATTAGCGACTATCGCATATCAGCTGCTGCCTTCCTTGGGGGCAAAGAGTTCCGTTGTTTTGAGTGTTTTCTCGTCCACCCCTGATGTCAGTGGTGATTCTTGGGTTCGAAGACTATTGTCTGATCCTTTTTAAGTTGAGAGATGATGCCTTCTGGATCTCTGACGCTCCGAAAGTTGAGGAGAATTGCTTGTGATGTGATGGCGCGCCTGGGTTGTTGCCTTTTTCTTCTTTGAGGCAAGCAGTGGTAGAGGTGGAGATATAGACAGTCGGATTGTGAGAGGGAGCGACAGGGATCCAGGTTTCAAGGCCAGGTCGATAGGTTGACAGGTCTAAAAGTTGCGCTCCGTCAGGAAACGCTCGATCTCCCGTTTGCGCCAGCCCTGGAAAACGAGGATCGCGTCAGTTTATTGCTCTTGTCCAACAGAGTAGAACAGAAGGCGCTGTGCCATACCTTGACGATGATGTGACCGTTGAGACGGTTAATCGTGATCTCGGGGCTCTTGGGGGCGCGCGGATCGCCCGACTCCAGACCCAGGTACTGTGCCAAATCCGATCTCAGAGCATCGAGGTCACCTTCCGTCTTCTGCAACTTGGTTTCACGCTTGGTACCGCCAGCTTTGGTGTCGACGTATACTGGGAGGAGGTTCGAGGCGGTGCGACGGATGAAGTAGGGGAGGTTGGTGAGTTGCAGGTTAGCGGGCGGTTGCGGAGTCGTCGGCGCGCTCTCCTTGAGCGTCTGGGATTGACGACGGCTCAGCTGAGCGATGAAGGTACGACATTGCTGTGCGGGGGTAGACTGGACATTGAGGCGCAGAGAGGAACGAAGGGCTGACGGCCCCGGGATAGAATCAGTATACATGCAATGGTGTCTGGGCAGAAGCAGTAGCTATGCATGCTTACTGTCCCCGATGCATGGAACTAGACGGAAAGCGCTCTGAACTTACGGGAAGTGGTCAGACTAGCAGAGGAGAATCGTGTAGAGTAATAGCTACGTGGTGCCAGAGAGACAATGGACTGTGAGGCTTTGTGAAGAGTGAAAGGAACAGCAGTGGACTGCTTGCGAACAGCCGAGCAAACCGGCAGAGACTGGAGGAAGGTTGCCATTGAGATATGGGGGGGAGTGCACGGGGAAAGGAGGTGGGAGTTGCGAGATTAGGCAAAGGAAGTCTAGACAACAAGATCCAGCACGAAGAAAGTCAAGGGACAACCCAGTCGGTAAATAAGAGCAGAAAGATGAGGGGGATCGAGAACATACGATACGAAGGAAGATGAAGCAAAAGCGATGATTTTCTTGCTTCGGCGCGGAGACCTCGGACTAGGCCCAGAGGGGACTAGCGCGTCAACCAGCCCTCCCGCCCACATTTTTCGCCAGCGCAAAAGATGAACGCCGCACACACTGAGTGTCTGTCTGTCTGTCTCTGCCTCAGTCCTTGTCCAGCCAGAAGGAAGCCTCATTCGAGATCTTCTCGTTGTGCTCCTCTCTATCTTAAGCCTCCTCCACCTTTCCTCCTTTTTTCCTCTCCCCCCCTCCC